TTGACTCGGCCAATTTCCGTGGTCACAGGCTAACGTACCTAGAAAAGGTATACCAAAATAAAATGGACCCCAAGGGTCAGCAGAGCGATAAAATACAAGAAAACAAAATATAATCAGAAACAAATAAAATAAAATAAAATAAATAATTAGACTAGTGTATATTTGTTTTTTCAAATAGGTACAACAACTACTGCTGTAATAAACAGTACTTTGTAGTAAATAGATAAACTAACGTATGTCGGTTATTGCATACTGCTGTAGCCTTTCTGCACGTATACTTGTTTTTCCTAAATACTGCTGTAAAAAGCCCCCCTCGAACGACTATGATTTTCGCTCGAACAGGGAGCTTTTATGTGTTTAACGGGTAGTCTTTCTGTGTGCATATTTGTTTTTCCTAATATATGTATTTTTCTAAATTAAACCAGCAACTACTGTCAACATGACATATTGCGCCGTGTTCCCTGTGCAGGCCACATGTAAATGTACCTACGCAGATGTTTTTGTGCTAAGCACCAACTGGTATCACTGATATAAATCATCAGTGTATAGGCTTAAACAAACTCGAAATAAGTCAAGTACCCAGCTGGTTTTCCTCTACTCACTGTAAAGACTTCAACACATCCCCTTCGAGTGTAGTTATACCTCGAACGGGTAGTCTTTCTGTGTGTATATTTGTTTCTCCTAATAATGTACAGATCCTGCTCCTTCTTCACACTACCAAGCCAAGGTTCGATTTCTGAGCCTGGATTTACACGTAACGTGCCTGAGCGGGCAAAGCCCTGTTGTTCAGCGATGGTCTCAGCTGTCGCCTTGGCCGCTTGCGCCACGATGTGTGCGACGCTGCTGGGGTCGTTGAAGGAAGGTGTTTTACCCTGGCTGGAGGGTGATGGCTGGCTGCCGGTAGGTGGGACCGGGTTGCCGGCAGGTGGTGGGGCGTAGGTGACTTCACCCTCGTTTATCCTGTTGGCTTCGAGTTCGACTTGCACTTGTTGCTGGACGATCTCCTCCACTTTTTGCTGTAGCTCTTCCCCGCTAAGGGCGGAGAGGTCGATGCCCTCCATGGTGTATGTTGTTGTGGGAGTCTACCGATTGCGCGTGGCTGCACAACCCCCGGAAGGCTACGCCCGCGCGCAGATACCGTGATATCGCACTAGTGTGAAAGGTAAACTACGCGGGGTGCAGCAAGCACGTTCTGGACGTTACTTGGGGCACTGGGTAGTCGGCCGCGTATCCCCTGGGATCCTCAAGACCAGATACTGCTGCGAGTATATCTAACAAGAGAGTTCGTCGAGACGTCGTGAAGGCGGCGGGTGTACGTGGTTGTTGTTTTTTCCTTGCAGTCAGCTTCCTATGCGCCTTTCTCGTTTCTTTTTGTTTTTTTTCCCGCAACATCGCAGCGGGTGCGCCGGGCAGTCAGAAGGGAGTTTGTCACGACGTTAGCAAGGGTGCGGGGTGCATGCCTGCTTGATTTTTCTTTGCAGTGGCCTTCCTGCATGTTTTTGTCTCTTTTTTACTTGTGTTTTTTTTTCTTGCAACATAGTCTAGCAGCCGGTGCGGCAGGGGTCAGATAAATTGGCACGACGGAGTGAGGTTGCGCCTGGCTGGTTATGTGTGTTTTGGTTCTTGCTAAATCGAAGCCAAGTGCGCCAGGGAGACATGAGAGTTTGATCATCACGTAATTAATGATGGCAGGGGCCAGCAGTACATGGTTGCTCGTGTTTTTGCAGTGGGCTTTCTGTCGTATTTTTTTTATACACGCAAGTCTTTTTCTATCACCAACATCGAGGGAAGGCAGACAACTAGGACTGAGAGTTAGCTTCGTCCACTATTAATCCACAATCTCGATCCATTTCGTACTCTGTTGGCCCCGCAAAGAGCGGATGCCACACTCACAACGTGAAGTCGAAGAGTGCCTCAATAGTGCAGGTTTTTCACTATTGAGGAATATTCAAAGCCCCAATAGTGCAGAACCTGCACTATCGAGGGCACCCTTTTCAGTAGTGTAGGTGCCTGCTATAGTGCAGGTAAATTCTCACGACAGACCCCTGCACTATATAGGGCCCACTACTGTACCATGTCTTGATTTGATGCTTCTACCACCCGCGTCTGTTCAGAGGCACATGCCATCACATGCTCGACGGGCTCCCTTCGTACCATATGTTCCTGGGTTGGCGTAGTGAGCAGGGCATCATGTATTTGCGATTTGAATGGATCCAAGCAACGATGTATTGAGAGGTATCCTCGTCAATACGGCTTTGTTCCGGCCGGGTGAAATATGCCTTACTTAGACTAATGCTGAAGAGGTCATGATAGGAAGCGGCGCCGTGCAGGGCATTGTGTATTTGTGATTTGGATCGATCCAACTAACGATGAGTCAGGAGGTATCCTCGTCAACACGGCTTGTCCCGGCCGGGTGTAAGACGCTTTAATGCTGAAGAGGCCATGATAGGATGCGGCGCCGTGCAGTGGAGCTTCGGCAACGATACGGAGAACCCGCACGATGCATTCGTCAAGAAATATTCCGACCTCGGAGTTACCACTGCTGTTGCTGTCGCTGAGTTCTTCGTCGCTGATAGGACCAGCAACAGTAGAGCCGAGTATTAACATGCACGGCACAGCAGTCCGTGGCGCTGGAACCACAACCTGTGTTTCCACGTCAATGCACAGCACCTCGCTCTCTGGCTTCTACCCCACACCTCCCTGTTAGTTCGACCAATACCCACCAAACTAAGCCCTTTCTCAAAAAAAGCGAAGAACACAGGTTGGTCACCGTACGTGATGAATCCATTGCTAATCTATTCCCAAGCTCGGTTGCGTCAGTTGCAGACTGCGGGGCCCCTCGCCGGCCGCGTCACTCTCCGCTTTTTTCTCAAGTGGAACACATGTTGTTTTCCTTCGTTGGCGAACTAGGTGTGTCCGGCATTAGACTATGCAAGATAGAACAAGAAAAAGCGAGCTTGGGACTAGCACGCAGACGATATTCGTCGCCTTGCTTTTGAGACAATCCCGTACTCTCATCTGATCTGTGGTCTCCGGCTTCTATCCCACACCTCCATGTTGGTTCGACCAACACCCACCAAACTAATGTAGTCTTAAGCCCTCCGTCATCAAAATGCCAAAGATAACAGGTTGGTCATCTACATCATCATCGTTATGAAGCCATTGTCAATCTATCCAATAGGTTCATCTGTGGTCTCCGGCTTCTATCCCAAACCGCTATGCTACTTCGACCGACACCCACCAAACTAATGTAGTCTTAGGCCCTCCGTCATCAAAATGCCAAAGATAACAGGTTGGTCATCTACATCATCGTTATGAAGCCATTGTCAATCTATCCAATAGGTTCATCTGTGGTCTCCGGCTTCTATCCCAAACCGCTATGCTACTTCGACCGACACCCACCAAACTAATGTAGTCTTAGGCCCTCCGTCATCAAAATGCCAAAGATAACAGGTTGGTCATCTACATCATCGTTATGAAGCCATTGTCAATCTATCCAATAGGTTCATCTGTGGTCTCCGGCTTCTATCCCAAACCGCTATGCTACTTCGACCGACACCCACCAAACTAATGTAGTCTTAAGCCCTCCGTCATCAAAATGCCAAAGATAACAGGTTGGTCATCTACATCATCATCGTTATGAAGCCATTGTCAATCTATCCAATAGGTTCATCTGTGGTCTCCGGCTTCTATCCCAAACCGCTATGCTACTTCGACCGACACCCACCAAACTACTGTAAGCCGCTTATCATCAAAACACCAAAAATACAGGTTGTTGGTCGTAATACAACGTCATGAATCCATTGTCAATCAAAACTATATCCCATGCTCTCATCTGTGGTCTCCAGCTTCTATCCGACACCTCCGTGTGGTTGTTCGACCAACCAGGTTGGTCGTTTGTGACAACAGAATTGTAGTTGCTGTTTGTTGTGTAGTTGGCAGTGGTGGCGCAGTTTGGGTAGATACAACACAGAGTGATCATTAGATCCAAAACACAGGCGCCCAAGCTGTCTTCACCTGACGGTTACAGACTTGGAGACACGCCTTCACAATACTGCACAAAACCCATGCAGTAGAATAGAGTCAGTTCTTGCATACAAATCCCAACATGTCCTCTCAAGAACTACGTCATGACTAGCTCTGATACATAAGACACAAAATTCTTTCTCTCAGTGTCCTCTCGAAACAAATACCAGTGTCCTCTCGACAAATGCTATCAACATGAATGCATGCTCTCGAACAATTCAAATTGAATACTCATCACTAACTGCCAGAGTTTTCTGGGCAGCGAATTCCATGTACCGTCCAACCCTTTTAAGACATATGGTCTGATTTCGGTAAGGGGAGGTACTCACACTCCAAGCAAAATAAGGCGGTTCTGCAGGAACTTCACAGCTCCCGAACTTTTGGTCAATATGTCTGCCCTCTGCCTGTTGGTGTCGATGTAAGTTACATCTACCACGTTTTGGTCCTCTAGGTGCCGGACGTGGTGGAACTTCACGTCGATGTGCTTCGTGCGGGGCGTGATTTTGCTACCCTTTGCGAACGCTACGGCACCCGCGTTGTCCTCGTACAATACTGTTGCTTGCTTCTGCTTCATCTTCAACGACTCTAGCAAATTTCGAAAATGTATAACCATGAGGCACGCCTTGGACAGCGCGACGACTTCTGCCTCGAACGTGGAGATGGCCAGCACCGTTTGATTCTTGGCTATCCAGATCACTGGGCCACCTGCGAGATAGAGAACGACACCGGTTGTGGAGTAGCCCTTGTCTTGGTCACCGGCAAAGTCAGAATCCGCGTACGCCGTTAGCTTGTCTCCGCCGTCGGCGTCTTCGGTGTATGTGATCCCGATAGTGGTTGTCCCTTTTAGATACCTGAGAACCCGCTTCAGCTTTGCCATCGCCTTGGGACCCGGTTTCGCCATGCTCTTCGTAAGCACCATCACCGAGTGGGTAATATCCGGCCTCGAACCCCTGCTGAGATACAGGAGACTGCCCGTGGCGGACCGGAAGTACACCGTGTCCTCTGGAGACAAAACCTTCTCCTCCACGGTGCTGATAGGCCCAGCCTCCGCAGGCGTCTTCGTAGAGTGCGCGTCGGCCATTCCGAACTTGTCAAGTACGGCCTTCGCGTACATCTCCTGCGACAGGAAGATCGTTCCGGCGTCGACGTTCCTCTCAAGTGCCATACCGAGCAGGAACTGTGCATCTCCCAGGAACACTGTGTCGAACCGCTCCTTCAGCTGCTCGACGACCCGCATCACCTGCGCTTCGTCGCTTCCCGACAAAAGAATGTCGTCGACGTACACGAGAAGGAGGACCCCTCCCGCGTTAAGGATGTAGAGACAGGGGTCCGCCGTACTCTGAACGAACCCGATCTCCAGCAGGAAGTCGTGGAAGGTGCCGTTCCAGCCCTTCGGAGAGAGGCGCAGCCCGTAGAGCCACGCCTTGAGTCGCCACACTTTTCCCTGTTGTTCCGGAGAGCACTCGAACCCTTTCGGAGGGATGACGTAGATCGGTTTCGCATTTGCAGGAACCCGCGCGTGGAGGAATGCCGTCTTGATATCGGCTTGCTTCAGGCCAAAACCATTCTTGGCTGCGATAGCAATCAGCAGGTGGACGGATTCCATGGACGCCACAGGCGCCGCTTTATCCTCGCCCGTGTCTGCTTGGTGAAAGCCTTGGACCACAACGCGGCTCTTCAGTCGAGCAAGCTCGCCATTCTTGTACTTCCGCTTATAAAGGTACCTTGACGGGATCGGCTGGTCCTGGGCACTCGTCGGCGGCTCGACCCAGTCGTACACATCAAGGTCGACAAGCGACTGGTTTTCGTTCCGCATGGACTCTTGCCAGTCTAGAGCATCCTGCCCACGGATCGCTTCGTCGTAGCTCGAAGGGTCGGGAGCCCTGTAGCCCACTTCGCCAGGGTTGCCAGTCCCGTTGTTGCCAAGCGAGCTTCCGGTGAGCAGGGAGCGTTCCACTTGCTCGAAGGCCTCCTCCTCCGTGGCAAAGGTAAACAGGTTCAGACGTTCAGTCGGCTTGGGGTTCCTGGTGCTGCGACGGGGGCCCGGCTCTTGCGCCTGAGGCGTGGGCTCCGGCTCGTTATCCTTCTGCTCGTCTTGTGGCTCCACCACACTGTCGACGTCGTCATCAGACTCTTCCGGACCGGGATGGTAAATCATTGGAGTCTCTGGCAGCGGATCATGCCCTGCCTTGGGGGGAACCACGTCGCGCGGGGCTTTCTCGCGAATAGAAACTTCGGCGGAGTTGGTGATCTTAAACTTGTCACGAGGGGACCATAGCCTCCACGACCGGCTTTTAGGGTTGACACCGACCAGAAACATCTTCTCAGCCCTGGCAGCCAGTTTGTTGGGCCTGTCCCCCGCTTCCACGTGCTTAAAGCATACCGAACCGAATTCGCGGATGTGGTGCAAGCTGCCAAGCGGTTTGTTCTCCCATACCTCAAGTGGTGCCTTGCCGCCCAAGACGTCCGTAGGCGTGCGATTCAGTATATAGATCGCGTATTGGAACGCTTCGGCCCACAGACTCTCCGGTAGATGAGGTGCCCCAAGAAGAAGGCGCCGCGTTATGGCTGCGACCGTGCCAAAGCCACGCTCGGCGACGGCGTTGCCTTGAGGCATGTACGGGGCGTTGGTCTCGATTTTGATTCCAAGTGATGCTGCCAGCGCCGCGAACCTTCCCTTGAACTCGCCCCCTCCGTCGCAGTGTAGCGTGGTGATACACAGTCCTTCCGGGTCGGCTTCCTCCTTGACAACAGTTTCCAGCGCCTCAGCAGCTGCATCTTTGCTCTTGATGGGAAAACCAAACCTCATGCGGGTATTGTCACACGTGAACATCACCGCACCCTTGTGTCCACCGAGAGATTTTACGGAGTGCGACCAGGTGTCTACGTGCAAGAGCGCAAGACGAGTGCCGGCGCGAGGTCGGTTAGCCGGTGGGTGACTAGACTTCTTGCTGTTGCCGACAGCACATACCTCGCAGTCGCCAGACTCGATGTTTTGGTCAAATTTAACCCCAGAATGCTCCTTCCTCGCCAGCTGCTGGAGGGCGCGCGGATTACAGTGGCCCATCCTCCGGTGCCACATGTGTGCATTCACCTTCGTCTTGAGCAGCATCGCGGTCCCGTCCATCCTCATGTCGTCGAGGACAATGTTCACGCTGTACATCCGCGAAATCTCCGTGGAGATGGGGAAGGCCTGATCGCTGCTACGGAGTGCTGGAGGAGTAGACAGAAGATCGCACATCACCCCCCTTTCCTTCAGGGCTCCGACCGAGAGGATGTTCGCTCCTAGGTTGTCAACCAGTAGTACTTGTAGCTCCACCGGGACGAGTTGGTTCCGGTCGTTTGAGATGCCGAAACGCAGGATACCTTTCTGAGCCGCGCTCGACGTTCCACACGAACCTTTGATCCTCACGTTGCAGTCCGACTTCTCGGTCACGTGGCGAGATGCGTAGGAATCCGCGCTAACCATGTGGCTAGACGCTGCTGTGTCTACGAACATAATGGTGCTCCTGGCGGACTCGTCCTTAACCTGGTACACACTGGTGTAGGCAACTATATCTGTTGCATCAGCAAGCGGGTTCTGCACCTGAACGTCACTAGCAGCATCAGCAGCACGCTCCTCGGGCAGCGGCACAGCAGGGGTATCCAGCACTTGCTCATCGTCGGCAGCGCGCTCCTCTGGCAGCGCCGCGGCAGGCGCCTCCGCCACCTGCTTCTCAGCAGCAGCGCGCTCATCGGGCAGCGCCACAGCAGGCGCATCCAGCACCTGCGCATCATCAGCAGCGCACTCCTCTGGCAGCGCCGCAACAGGCGCCTCCGGCACCTCCTCCTCAGCAGCAGCGCGCTCCTCCGGCAGCGCCGCGGCAGGCATTTCCAGTGCCTGCGGATCGTAGATGACAAGACCTTCCTGCACGCCCACGGCGGCGCGCTTCTCCGGCAGCGCCGCGGCAGGCATCTCCAGTGCCTGCGGTTCTCCAAACGAGATGGAAAAGTCCTCCGGCTCACCGCTGGATTCCTCGACTCGGGTGAACCATGCCTGCGTGGACGGTTCCGGCGCGGCGGCATTCGCCTGTTGGGCGTTATCCTCTCGCACGTTCTCCAGGCGAAGGGGGCAGCCGTCCCATCCGTGCTCTGTAGAGTTGTGGCAGTACTTGCAGCGTCCCTGACGGTCTCGGCCCTTTTGGTGACTTTTGTTTCCGCCTTTATTGGACTTGTTGCCGCGGCCTCGCCCGCGCACATCTTGCGCGCCTCCAGGGCTATCGCCTCTGGAATTTCCGGCGGAGGAGCCGCTGCTGCCGTTGTCTCCGGTCGGTTGGCTGCCATTGCCTTGGCGGTTGCGTCCGCCGCGTCCGCCACGTCCGCCTTGCTTACGGAAACTACGTGCACCCCCGTGCACGACCGTGTTGTGGGCACGGCCGTGGGCAGAAACCTTCCCCCTGATCTGCAGTGTATGGTACGCGGTCGCTCGGTGCGCGACATTTTCGAAGTCAAGATCCAACTCCGAGCCATCGGCTTGTCCGCACACCAGCGCGGCCTTAAGTTGGGCGTAGTGCTGGTCAGGAAGCGCGTTCAACAAGATATGCGTCTGGCGGGCTGGTACGACCTTGTCTCCAAGTGACTCGAGTTCGGAACTGATACGACGCAAGTCTTGGATTGCACGCGCCGGGTCGTAATCGTCCTCGGCAGTGACCGCAAGTGATCCTAACTCTCGCTGCAGTTCATGCATCCGATAGGTGCCCTTCTGGCGGTACTTCGCTTCTAGGGCAACGTATGCCGCACGTCCGTCCCCATGCTCACCAACGCGAGCGGGGCCGAAGGCTCGAACGACTTGGGAAGCAGTGCTCGAGAATCCATCGGCGCAGTCGGACGTAGCAAAGTTTAACCGTGTGTACAGTTTGCCGTTCTTACGTTTGAATTCCAGCGTCGTCCTGTCGAACGCAGCACGATCCGAATCCGCGCTGCTGGCCGCCGATGCCGGGGCGGTCTCCGTCCCAGCCATGATGTCGCCTAATCCTTGCTCATCCATGATGGAGTAGAACAGGCCACTCCAGCCGTGGAAATCTTCCGGCTTCCCGCTAAACGGGACGTATCCTTGTTTCAGGTAGTTCGTGGCGGACGCCATGCTGCTGCTGGGGTGTGACTCGATGTGAATTACCTACCAAACGCTAGGCTCATGACCTGACAACAGAATTGTAGTTGCTGTTTGTTGTGTAGTTGGCAGTGGTGGCGCAGTTTGGGTAGATACAACACAGAGTGATCATTAGATCCAAAACACAGGCGCCCAAGCTGTCTTCACCTGACGGTTACAGACTTGGAGACACGCCTTCACAATACTGCACAAAACCCATGCAGTAGAATAGAGTCAGTTCTTTCATACAAATCCCAACAGTTTGACAATGCTCAATTCATTGCTACAATAGACTATTAATCTACTTTTAATTTTAGGCACAAATCCGTGAAGAACATCAATGTGTGGTTTCGCCAGAAAACGAAATTTGCTGAACAAAACCCCCTGTTGAAGCAGGCCCCATTGATTGCCGCTGCCGTCCGCGACCACTGCTTATGTTCCCCTGGATTTCGGTGTGTTTGTGTACGGAACTTAGACTAATGCTGATTGAGAGGCACACCGAAGGCTTACCTCCCTGAGGCCTCTCCTTTCTTATCCTTGCGAGGCATGCATGTGCCGTCGACTTCAATTCAAGAAGCAAGGAAACCCGAGCATCGGCGACACCACCCCACTGCGAAGAGCGTCCGGCCGCAGGCAGGAAGACGCTGCACACACACGTTTGTTCGCGGTTTCGTTTCTAGACTAGACCACGAACAACCGGTGTTCTACGACGGCATTCATGATGGGGGACACAGGCACGATAATACATGTTGCGTTCGGGAGGCACAAACAAAAGCGTCCAAACGCGCCCTTAGATCATTGCCTTGAAGTTAGAGCGACGAACGTCTAAGGCTCTCCTCATCAATTCCGTCTCTGTCCCCCGGAACGCGATCATCATCACCAACACCGCTATTGCTATTGCTGCTGCTGCCACTGTTGCTGCTGCTGCTGCTGCTGCTGCTGCTGCTGCTGTCGTCTCCTTGCTGCTGCTGCTGCTGCTGCTGCTGCAGCAGCAGCAGCAGCGGGACGATGCCGTTTCGAAGTACGCCGTCGGTAATGACCGCGGTCAGCCCCCACACGCGTTGAGGCCCGGCGGTGAAAACTGGGAACTGCCCTTGCTCGTACAGCTCATCCATCGTGCGTAGCGACGGGTCTAGGAGCTCGCTCAGGGACAGGGTAAACACGCTCTTCACCTGTGAAAAAAATCATTCACCAACGACAGTCGTTGCATGATGTTTGTTGCTGTTGGCACGTAAAAGCTGTTGAGTGTGCACACGGTAACAATCAATCAATGCTGGTGCGATGAATTTGTTATTGAAGAGTCCGTCCAAGCACAAGGTAACAGGTTACGGCTACTTGTGCTAGCCACGTCTCGAAAGCGCGCGGTTTGGGCAGGGCAAGGGAGCATCCATGACGGTTGAAGGTGTTTTCGCGAAGGGTACTAGTCTATGTGTTGACGCCTTGGTCCGCCGACGACACTATTCGTTTTCGGTAGCTCGGTCAGGGCGTTCGCAATTTTCTTGATGGGGTTGAGGTACAGATGCGAAGCCAGCCGGCTGCTGCTGTTGCTGCTGCTGCCGCACAATACAATCAAGGCGTATGATGATAGGCACGTAATGTACCGTGCATGGCGACCGCAGCCCAAGAAGTGCGGTTTCTGCAATCGGCGGGACCGGTTGTCGCACATTTTACTCACGAAAGCACTACCCGCGATCCGTTTTCTATATCCCATCCTCAAGAGGAAAATTTCGCGTGCATATGTACATACCTCGTCCGGACTCAGCACCAAATTGGGCAGAAGGGGACCGACGTCTCGTCGCACGAACGCTACAACGGGGGTCACCCGCGTTCCCATTACTGGAGGAGGGATGAGCGATAGGCCGTAACAACACCATCATCAGTAGGTTTCTCCTCGCGCAAACGCAACCTTCAAACTCTTCGTGGAACAAGCTGATTGCTCGATTCGGCCGTTGGGTCAGACAGACGCTGGGTTGTCCGGACGAGGTAGATCGTAAGACAGTACAAGGAGTCGCCCTCCACAGCAGCGTCAAAAACATGCACGGCAAGGGCGGGGGGCGGAAGAGGCACGACCACTGGAAGAGACGGGGCGGAGGGATTACACTGGAGCTTCGTCGATGTCATGTCGACAACCCAAAACGAGCTCTCCGCCACAGCCGTGTAGGTAACGCCGGCTGCTGCCCGTCGCGTGGCGCACCAGCCGTCCGCACAGCGAACGAGTTGTGCGCTCGTTTTGACACATCATGCAACCATAGCGCCTAACCACGCCCGGTAGCTCCCCCACCATCGTCCGCCGTGTGTTGCAACCAATTCGTTCAACGAATCGCAATCTCTCCAAAAATACAAGAAGCGAATACGTGATGAATGCACTGCAGGAGACAAGCAGCGAGCTTGGAGAGAAAGAGGCGGAAGGGTACCCGGGAGTGATGGAAGGGTCCCGACAAGCACTTACGTGCTGGTAGCGTCTGGCAAGTGCCCAGAACGTCGATCCTTCCTAGGCTGTCCCCAATCTCTTCTCGCGTCTCCCGGAGCGCCGCCTCGACCGCATCTTCACCGGGCTCCAAATACCCCCCCGGAAAGGCAACCTGAGATCCATTCCCGTATGTGCGTCGAGCAAATCAATCGCGTTGGTTGGTCGTTGCCACCTCTCACCCTCACACCGGACCAACACAAATACTGCTATGGTACGCTTAGGCACCCCCGGCAGGGCCCAGCACGAAACTACGGCTACCCCATGTTTTGGTGTTGATGCTAGGTAGGGTACAACAGCACGTCACACATTCAAAAGACCTGCCAGAACAAGAAGGTGGCAGATTCTATCGCGAACAGAGACTAAAAGGATGTGCTGGGAGGCTCGAGTTTGGGCACGCAGAAGAAACACCTCGCAACAAGACACAGAATGCAGACTGGGAGCCAACAATGGGCGGTGCTTAGAGTTGGTGCCCTGTATACTCTTGGTAGTCGGTTGGTCATACCTCCCCCTTGTGGGTTGAGACTTTGCTGGATCGAACGGTGAATAGAAGGCTCGCGAACCCATCGCGATTGCATCTGTGGTGAACAAGAGGACGTACACAAGGCGGAGATTGCACAGGTTATCGCAGGTGCACCGGAGAGGGTGCGCGGGGGCGATAAACATAACGCCTCTCGAGGCACCCATGCATCCAACGTCCGGGCATGAACCATGGAGCTTTGCTTAGCAGCATACCACGGCGGCGTCGAATCGTGCGGGACAGAGATCATGCCGTCCTACGTGTGAAGCGATTAACGACAGTACAGTGGGGGCCCCTCAGTGGTGCCGGTACAGACCAGACCAGCATACCGGTAATATTCAGAGTACAGAATGTCTTGGCGATTCCGTCTGTTCGTCCGTTCCCGCCAAAAACACCAGCATTGCCACTGATGTGGTAGACCATCACTACAGTACACATGTACACCGGTCGCCCCGGTGGTCTAGTGGGTAGCCTCACAGCCTGCTAAGGGCCAGGCCATGGGTTCGAGTCCCGACAGAGTGAGTTTGTTCTCTCTTATTAAATGCTGGTCTCCGTTGCGAGCGACGCGCTGCAAAGCTCGATGGTGGTAAACTTGATCGACTTCATAAGTCGCGAGGGAAGGGATAGCTGTACCCTTCTCGCGATAAAAATATCTCAGGCAGGAACCGCAGGAGGCGGTCCAACCCCCCCCTCCTATGTGACCCCGGTTGGGTCGTCTAGCTGGTAGAAGTGGAGGACAGGGGCCAGAGGGGTAGACGACAGGGTCCAACGATGGGAGGAAGGGTTTGAACTCAAATTCACCGCAGGGAGGTGCGAATCTCCAACGCTTTATCCACAGGCGTTCCACTCAGGCAACGGTCACAGATATGGGGCGATGTTTACGATCACCGGACAGACTGTGATTCTCAGTAGAGAGACAGAATCTCGAGATGAGATGGGGACATAAGTGAAGAGTGAGAGGTGTGCGAGGGCACGCCCTCGCATCCCTCTCGGACGAAAGTCACGGTCAACGATCCGGGCAAGCCTCGTGGAAGGCGGCTTTAGGTCCCTCGTAACGTTGCACGCTTCCTCGTGACTCGGGGCGTTGGCGACCTCGAGATCGCCCCGAGAGACGATACCTCCGAGGAGAACGTGAGGAACGTTCTCCAAGGTCGTAGGATATGTGGTGAAAGACGTAGTGGGTTGGGTTCGTAGAGTTGTGCCCCACATCGCCCCCCAGTTTTGATGGTGTTAGAGCGCTCACTCCATCAAAACTACAGAGTAAAGGGGACACAGACTCTGCTAATTCAACCTGCCAAAGACAACATTTCGAAGGGTCTCCTCTAACTTCGAAAGTGTGTACCGAAAATATTATTACTGGAAATACCTTGGAAGTATGACCAGAAGACGAGCCAGGATCAAAATGACAGACGACAGAGGAGTAAAGATGAGGTGCATTGCCAAGCACAGCATAGCTGCGGCCTGCAGGACAAATGGCTAGCACGGGAGTATACGCATTGCGTAGGAGCGGTGTCGCGCGAAGGACATCGACGAACGTTCGTATTATTGTTTCTGATCCTGAGTGTGTCAAGCAACATTGACGCATCGTGGCCAGATAGAAATGATGCGTTCAGAGATACAGACGAACAACAGTTCATGGCTGACGGGCAAATGGCCACTTAATGGGCGACACCGCCTTGCAACTTGAGCGGAGAGTTGGACCAACTCAGCATCAGACAAGCCAGCAGGTGTCCCTGCTTTGACACGAAAGCTGCACACGAGACGGTACTGCTGCAGACACGAAATGACATCGACATCTGCGCCGCCTGTGAGACGCGGCACTTGTTTGACATCCTGTGATGTAATGACTACACGCTTAGACTAGACTTGGTTGACAAGACTTCGGCAAATGTCTGAGCAAGCGACGGGACGGAGGTTGCGGCCCGCTGCACAGCAGTGGCAGGTGATGACGAGGTGGAGCTACTCAGACTTACCAGCTTGTCCATAAGCGTCATGGTCTGTTCGGAGAGTTGGTCGATCTCTCCGGCCGCCAACCTCGCGCATTGTTAATTAATGTGGGATTGGAGCAAGCAAAAGGCGGTCTTTTCAAGGGTGTACGTACCGGTAAAGGAAAAGGCAGGCCGAAGTTTACGCACCCTGCGTGTGAAAAGAAATTAGGACACAGCGTAGACAAATGTTACACCACTAGACTAGTCAGCCTCTGTTCGGAGAGTTGGTCGATCTCTCCGGCCGCCAACCTCGCGCAGTGTTAATTAATGTGGGATTGGAGCAAGCAAAAGGTGGTCTCGTCAAGGGTGTACGTACCGGTAAAGGAAAAGGCAGACCGAAGTGTACGCACCCTGCGTGTGAAAAGAAATTAGGACTCAGCGTAGACAAATGTTACACCATTAGACTAGTCAGCCCGTTACGCACCCTGCGTGTGAAAAGAAATTAGGACGCAGCGTAGACAAATGTTACACCATTAGACTAGTCAGCCCACCGCTGACTAGTCTAATGGTGTAACATTTGTCTACGCTGAGTCCTAATTTCTTTTCACACGCAGGGTGCGTACACTTCGGCCTGCCTTTTCCTTTACCGGTACGTACACCCTTGACGAGACCACCTTTTGAGGACTGCCCGAACCGGATCCTCCGGAGCTGGAACCTCCAGAGTTGGGGGTGGCACTGCCTGACGCAGCCCGCAACGAGACAGCGTTATATTTTGGGCGATAGCGGTGCGGTTCGGGACGTGGGTGAATGACATGGCACTAGCGTGAGCGTTGGTGCGGCCAGTGTTTAGGCCAGTGAGGTTGGCAGCCTCAAGGCGACGGAGCTGAGACACAGCTTCAGACATGGTCTTGGGGTGAGGCTCTTGGCTGGCAAGAATCTTAATCCCCGGCACTACACCGTTGCGGGATAGGACGACAGACAAAGCAGCGTCCGGGGAACGCCCCGGGGTAACACGCTGGACACACGCTTCAAAACGAGCGCACTCGGAATGGTATCGTAGCGCAAAAGACGCGATAGTTTCGCTGGGATCCATTTTGAAATCAGCTAGACGAAGGGCAGACTCCTCTACAGAGTTAGAGGGCATAAGACAGTCGAGTAGAGCGGTTTTCAGCTCTGACCTGTTCTTCGGCGCAGGGTGTGAGCCCGGTGCGTCGATTACTTCAGTGGGCACGATGGGTGTGTGCCAATAAAGACCACCGTCCATAATGTGTTGGTACAACGCTAGCTCGGGTCCATCACAGATGAGAGACAGATGTTCGAATGCAACTTGATCGGAGAGTTGGACCAAGGCATCAGACAAGCCAGCAGGTGTCCCTGCTTTGACACGAAAGCTGCACACGAGACGGTACTGCTGCAGACACGAAATGGCATCGACATCTGCGCCGCCTGTGAGACGCGGCACTTGTTTGACATCCTGTGATGTAATGACTACACGCTTAGACTAGACTTGGTTGACAAGACTTCGGCAAATGTCTGAGCAAGCGACGGGACAGAGGTTGCGGCCCGCTGCACAGCAGTGGCAGGTGATGACGAGGTGGAGCTACTCAGACTTACCAGCTTGTCCATAAGCGTCATGGTCTGTTCGGA